GGATGGATGGATGGATGGATGGATGGATGGATGGATGGATGGATGGATGGAGCCCTCAGAATGTGGCACCGCACATCGATGGGTGGACCGAGTGTGCTTTTGAAAGAAAACAAGGATGAAGCAAAGGGTTCCCTATACTCTGCGTCTCCTCGGGTACCTGCAAAAGGGCACGATGATGGTTGATGTTGGCAGTATAGTCAGCATCTCTGACGGACGTAGCGAGGCACACAGCCACACATGAGAATCTATCACCGTGACATTTGAGGTTTTTGATGTTCTTGATGTTAACCTGCTGAGTACACTCTCCAAAGCACGGAAACTGACAAGAAGGTTCAGAAACTAGTTCTTAAAGCTTAACTGAGGACCTAGGAGAAGACCAAAGTCTCGCTCTGAGCGCACCCTGGACCTTTTTGGAGGGAACGATGTCAAGCCCAACGAACCAGCACGAAGACGTTCCAGGTTCCACACCCCAAGAAGGATCTTGGATATATGTTGGGCTATGGGCTATCCTATTACCAGGGTTCAGTGGATGATGATCAATAAAGGCCTTGTTCACAAAGAATTAGTGATATATATATATATATATACTTGTCTTACTGACTGTGTACCAGGTAATAGGGCAGACCCAAGCCATACATGCAGCAACTCTTCAGGATATGTCGAATTGTTGCTCGTCTCCAAGCGCCACGTCCGGACGCTGATCTGCGAATCGCCTACGGACGTCCAGTTCGGCCGCAAAAACACCAACCGAAACTGGGAGAAAGTCGACTATGAGATGTCCGTCCTCTCTCGCGTGGAGGCCAGGTGGTAACCGTAGCCCTCCAAACTCAAGAGCCGCCTCAGGAGTGGGGTGGCTGAAAGGAATCGGTGCTCCTCAGCGGGCTGCACATAGCTGCGACTTTCCACTGTTTGGGTGATCTTTCAAACGCCAAACGTGCAAAAAGCAGGATGCCTTCGAATAGGGCTAGGGAACATGGGGAATGGAAAGCAATTTACAGGAATGCATGAGGTCATAAGGTTGACAAACAGTTACTGTAATTACGTACATTCATCTCTTGGTCAAACCAGGCTTCACCCCAGAAAAATCTCGCACCAAATGCTGCTGACCAACATGTTCCCCCCCCAAACTCTCTGAACCACCCAATGAACCTCCCCCCAACTGCCCGAAACGACGGTCGCGAGGTCTGGGCTTCCCGGTCAGCGCATCTCGCCAGGCGGCCATGCAAACCAAGAGGAGCTCGACTAAGGAGCGATCCTTGGATCGCCAGTGGAAGTTCAACCAGTGGAGGAAGGGAAGTTAAGGAAGTTGTATCCAAATTTGGAGTGCGAATCACATGATCTCATCCACAAGGTTGTCCAAAACATCGTTGGCCATGACAGTGGGGTCATCACGCCCACTGCGGTGGTGCTTCTTGCCACAAACCTGGGTGAAAACAACGCAACATGTCCAATGATCAACCAGTGGCCGCATCTACTGCCCCAAGAAGAGTACTCAGTGGCACAGTGTGCCTGAAAAATAAACTCCTTTTTTGCTGGAAGAAAAACAAAAAAGCACGCGGCGCAGTTTTTATGTCAAAAATATGTTTTGACAACCAAGGAAACCCCCTTTGGAGAGTTGCGCCGGGTAAGCCATTTGATATGTGATGGCTGCCCGACCAGCAACATGCACTTGAACACGACAAACGAAGCAGAACAATTCCCTTCTGAATGAAGCAAAGGATAAAAGTTGATGTTATTTCTGTGAATCTGAGGGGTCTGTACCTGGGTGTGTGAAAATGTTCTTAGAACATGATGAAAAAATTGATCCAAAAATCATGCATCAGAATGTTCAGGAAAGAAAAGAACAACCACTTTGGTAGAGTGGAAGCTAATACGGTTGCACTTTTTAAAAGCACAATGGAATCCGCAGGGTGTTCTTCGGATGCGTGTGTTCCTACGGATGTCAACGGCTGAGTGCGGCCGAGTGCGGCTGATTTCTATGTCTCGAGTGAGTGATCGTCCAAGTTGGACCATGACTCCTCCATGAATGTCATCCTTAGAGTGTGGGTGTGGCACTGCACCCACCGGAGACCCCCCCACATCCCACAGAGACCGGAGAGACCGCACGCGCAGAGCGCAGAAACGAACGCCCGGACGCCCGGGTGTCCCGGGCGTAGAGCAGTTCCACTGCCCTCGAGAGCTCGTCCCGGCCCTGGAAGGCTTTCGACGGTGCTGATGCTGGGAGCTGTCAGGAGCTGTTCCAACTGACGGATGTCCACCGTCTTCTCCTGTGGGATGAAGTACTGTGTGGATAACAGGAATCGTGGCGGTTTTCAATCTGCCAAGCTATTAGGGAAAAAATGTCCAAGCACTGCACTTGTCAGAGTTGAACGAGCGTGCAAATGTATGTATATAATATACTGTGTATATATATATATATACATACTGGCATCAATAGACTATCTTCAACTGGATTCAGAATACCTAGAAAGCTGTAGGCTTCCAACTCCAGAAGTCATCCTCAAAACATTGGATGTTCCTAGTAGAAAGCATCTGCAAATCTTGTTGGTTGACCCAATACTTGGCTGAAACCATACAGAAACAACTGACGGTTGAAGGTCTTTAAAATCCGAAAGGCTGCGGTTGTGTTCCGTCCAACAAAATCGTCCAGTCGAGCACTTTGGGAGCTTTGCCCGTGCAAAATCCTAGCAAGGGAAGATGGGAAGGATGACGAAGGATAAAGGCGCAGGAGGAGGTTAACTTTTCTCCGACTTTTGATGCGAAAGAATGTCAACGTCTTGGAGATTGTGGTCAGTGCTTTGGACTGCACCTTGGAAGTTTCAAGCTCCCATATCGTTTAAACTCAATGTAAACTTGATGTGTTCCACGCCTTTGTAACCTCCTGTCACCGGGAAGCTACCCGAGGTCGGCTTGGGCACGGCCACCGAACGCCCATTCCTGGCACGACATGACCTGATGCTTCTGATTTCTCTCCACCGGATCCGCTGGAGAGTCCAGCATTCAGCAGATCAGCCATTGTAGCCCTTTTCGTGAGCCCTAAAAGACCTTTTGAGGCTGTGCCATGACGTGCCATGAACGACGAGCACACTTCATCTGCCCACCCTCTTCCTTCGAGCCGAGCCTGTGCAAAGACCTCCAGCACGGATTCGCGACCTGGATTCGGGGCAGCAATGGCCCAAAGTAGCAAAGCCCCTGAAATCCGATGGGCAATGTCAAACCACATGGATACGCCATGGATACCCCAGCCCATGGATACCCCAACGATTCCATGTGGTACAGATTGGAAGTTGCTGTAAATCCTAGCTTCCGCTGGAGAACTTGTCTATCAACGGACTTTCGCCTACAAGACCACCCTGAAAGCCCTCGTCTTTCGTCCCTTTCACATCTGACAGGTTGACATAAAGGAGTCCCACTCTGAGTCTTAAACCAAAGTGGGACAAATCAGCAATAAGCATGAAGTAGTGCTGAGTCCCACTCTGACTTCTTCAACTTTAGCACTACAAATCAGCAATAAGCATGATGATTCGTGAAGTGACTCTCACCACCCCTCAAAACCTCGCCCGCTGCCGTCGTTGGATCTCACCTCGACCGCAGGATCTCAGCCTGCGCCCCCCCGTGGCCTCGCCTCGCAGGATCTCAGCTTCCGCCGCTCGTTGCTGCAAGCTGGAGGTGGTGTAGTGCCGCCTCAAACGCGCCGGCCGCGGCAGGTCTCCAGCGCGGCAGGCAGACAGCGCGCGCTGGTTTTGTCCGCTCAAGCAGCTCTTCGGCGGGTGGTTTTGGTCTGAGGGCAAGAAGAAGGGAGGAGTCCTTGCCATGCAATCCCAGGCACAGGGGTTGGGTCCTTAAGATAAGTTTTGGGTTTGGTTGCTTTGCTGCAGCGAACCATCAGACAAGTGCCCAGCAGGGCCAACGACTGGGAAGAGCCACCCTCAGTCCCGTGTTGTTGCAGCAACCACATGAGGAAGCTGTCCCACAAAGGCAGAACGGGTGTTTGGGCGACATCTTCCCGAGTTGTTGCTAGCTCAGCGAAAGATCTCTGGGTCGCCCGGCCAATGTTGAAAGTGAAATTCCAAGCACCGCTCATCTGGCTGGCACTTCTCACTTCGCAGCCAACCTGAGCACAGGCATCTTCGCTTTTCGCGCAGCCCGCGGCTTCCGGATGGGAGATAAAAGCTCATGATTGGCGCCAAGGCGTCGTATTCATTCCCGAAAAAGCACACTGTTGAACACAATGCAGACTCTCTAGAAAGAATTAGTACAGTACTCATAACATACAGTAACCAAACAAAGGATTCTTGGATTGTGCAGATTTGGAGGTTTACTTTGTCTTTGGGTTTCATCATCCGAAGGACAGATTGAACGGGATTAAACATAAAACACTCTATTGGAAACCACAAGCGAGTCTACCGTTCACACCAATTTCTTCTCATTGCAGTCCCAACACCTCGGTGTTCACTGTCCTAGAATTAAAAATATAACGATATAGGATTGATGCAACTCACGTTGCCAATACTTGTCACTAATCATAGTTTTTGTCGCTGTGATTAATAGGTCATAGTTGTCCATATGTTTCTCATAAACTACCAAGATCTCCGACACCACTCAACGACCGCTCTCCTCTACTCTCTCTCTCTGCTCTCGCTCGGCGCCCGTACCCGTGCGCCGCTGCAGGGCGTTCGAGAGCCGAGCCGTGTGGACGGCCTGGGCGAGCATTTCTGGCAGATGTCCTGAGAGCAACCATGGCCGCCATGGCCGCCATGGTTTGTGAGGGTTTTTACTTAGTTATAATAGCTGTTTGAATGGCTGACCAGACTATCCCCGAAATTCTTGAAAAAAAATGAAGGCATCCTTCTTCTACAAATGATTTAGTCTGCAGGAATGTTCAGGAGATTGGTTACTTTGTGCCCACACGTGGTCGTCACCGGATCCACACCTGACCGACACAAAGAGCGGTACGTTGCGAGCAACAACTCTACGATGTCTTTCCTACGCACCATAAGATACACAAGATGAACATGGAACCTTTGGAAGAGTGTCTTCCTCTACAACCCGTGGTGGTTGGTTCGGTTCCAGCCGGTGGGTCTCGAAAGCAAAACCGCTGGTCCCGGTGTTTCACCGACGCGACCGTCCCGGTGCACCGGTCCCAGTGGACGCGGTCCGTCCGACCTCTGAGAGCGAGCGGTCCCTCTCGGGCCTCTCGAAAGCCCATGAGGACCTTCGTCATCAGCAGCCTGAGGACCGAAGCGTCGATGAGCATCGATGCGAACGGACCGCGAGCGGTTTGGGGCCGGGCGAGCCATTGGTCCGTCATGCGGGAGCGATTGAAGGAATGATGTCAAGCTGGAGTGGCCAACTCTGCACAAAAAGAGGCAGCGCTTCTGGACGCGTACTCTTAAGATTAGATTCTTATACTGACCTTGCTACGTGGTTGGTGTTGGAGCGCCAAACAATTCTAGCTGGAATTCTGGCGCTGGACCAGACTGGCCATCATACTCACCGCACGCGCCTGCCTTCGCAAGCTTCACGCACTAGCAGGACCGACACATGAGTCCCAGAATGGATTCAAGGGAAAACCTACAGGAAACCTATAATTTTGGGATGAAAACATGGGCTACTAGAAACACGAACGCTACTAGGTGAAGGGCCATCGCTACTAGTCACAAGGACGCTACTAGGCTAGGTGGAGCTTTCCTAGCGATGTTCCCTTAAACCTCATTGTTCCTGAGCGCCCCAGCACATGTGCGAAAGATCGCCCTAAGGACCGACCGATGATGCTGGCATGGAGGCCTGGGCAGTGAGGCTGATCAAAGGCGCCGGTCGGGTCCGAGTGGTTTTTCATCATGCGATGTGAAAAAGGTGTTCACATGATGAAGCAATTCTAACCATGGTGGTTTTCATCTGCATTCTTGCTTGTGTCTTGGGCGTTCTGAGGATTGAAGGCAACCACGAGGCAAATTGGCCGAATCGCAGTACCATTGCCAAGTGGTGTAGTTCAAAACATTGTGAGGCATGATGCTACTAAAATAAAGGTCTACCACTGAAGAAGCACAAGTTGATGATGCATCAACATGCATGAAAAGTTGTGCTCTCGGAGAGGGAATCCATCCCCTCACATGACACCTTCAAGGCTGCCTATCTACTTCTTGGAGACACATCGTTAGGAGCCGCCTCATCCGATGTCGTCTTCACCACACGCTAAGAATGCATCTCATCCGGTTGCATGCTCCGATGCCACCGTCGTTCATGGTCTGGACGCACTGTGTGTCACTAGATTCGTCACTAGATCACCATGGCGCATCAAATATAAAGCTCCCCCCTAGTGCAAAAAGTGCGGCCAAACAATTGTCGTAACAATACACTACTCGCAATAACGCAATAATAAACCTCTGACCTTGAGATTGTGACAGCTTTTGATCGCAAAGAAGAAACAATTCAAAAACAAAGTAGTTCAATCTGGAAAGAGGTCATTGTAGAAGAGCAAGTCAAGTTCATTATTGGTGCCTACTAATTATATATATATGCCACATAAACTCAAAAGCACGTCTATTGTAGAGCAGAAACTGATGTCTATTATTGGAACCTACTAGAAAAGCAAGCTTATTGTGGCCTACTGTTGTAGAGGAGTAAGTAAAGTTTATAATTGCATTGACAGTACTTAGTTTAATAATTCACACTCTTTAGTCTATAATTGTATTGTTTTAGAAAATGGTTTATAAATGTCTATAATTGACTCGCTCTCCATGTTCAACCTACTGAACAAAAAAGGCTTTTTGCAGTAGTGTTTTTTTTGCATGGTTTCGGTAGCCCGGAGACTTTTAGGTTTATGATTGACTGGTGGTTTATTATTGTGATGTGAACATTAACAGTATAGTATAGAATACATGATGGGTGCACCATGGCGCAACCAAAAAAAGGCTCACCAAGACCAAGGTCGCTTCATCTCGGGCCCCCTGGCGTTCCATGGATTCCGTGCTGGGCAAGAACTTCTGGCGACAAGTGATCACCAGGTTCTTCCTGCGACCCCGGCGACCCATGGCTCAGGACGGCCCTGTGTGGCGAAGTCGGACGGCCGGACTGTTGGGCTCTTGGACCCGTCAAAATGCCATGGAGTCCATGCTCTTCAAAACCGGGATGATCTTGGACCCTCGGTGGTCCGAGATCAGCTGATTTGAGAGTCTATCTTCATCGTTCGGCGCCATCGTTCAGTGGGTGGCTTCGAGCTTCGATGAAATGCAAGGATGACCGAAGGATCAAAGAACGACATGGACACCCAAAGCAAAAATCATGCGTGTCCGTACAAGAATGTCTGGGCACGTTCAAAGTCCATGTTGGCATTCAACCGAACACACCAGCGAGTTGAACAGTTGATGGACAAGGTCTCCTGTACATTGGTTCTCCCCTACTCCCTAAGTGCTGCAAGAGAAGAACTTGCCCATCAAGAACGCGATGAGTATGTTTGTATGTATATATATATATACATATGATTGGCACTTGCCTGCAAATGAATTTCAATTTTATCCACTGACTAGTGCTCAGAACCGTGGCTAGTGAGGGGGCAGTTGGTATTCGGAATGTTTGGTGGCCAAGAGATCCTCACCAATTCTTTCCTCCGGTGAGCAGGTCAGCAAAGCATAGAGCTATCAAGTTCAGAACTCTAGTTGCGAAGCTTTGGGGTTCAGAAATTGAGAGAACACATCATGACAATCATGATGTTTGTGACCGCTCAAGGCATCTGGGGATCAAATTGTGCCTGTTTAGATCTCTTGTTTGTTGTATGGTTTTCGCTTGAGCCTTGGTGTTCAAGGGGAAGGCACAAAACTCGTTCTACTTGCAAATGCCAGAACAAAGCTCAAAGTTAAATGACACCCACAATCACCACAACAAGACTTGCAACCGCGAGCTACTTGCAACCACAACAACCACAAGCCACAAACCACAACAATGCCCCTCTGGAACACCCTCCATCTTCCCACATCTTCATCACAGGACCCCCCCCGCCCTGCTCGATGAAGCCCCCAGCACCTCCGCTCCCGCCGCGTGGCGGAGACCCGGAGCATCTCCGCGATGTCGTGCAGCGTCCGGGTGATGATGCCCGGCGGCCTCGGAGTCCGGTGGGATCCGGCGGTCCCGGCAAGGCACGGTGAGATGAAGCGGTTTCGGTTGCAGTATTTCTTGAAGAGAGAGAGAGAGAGAAAGACAAAGGGGTGTTTTTGCAAACTAAGCAGCGGTGTCTGGATTGAGGGTTCTTAGGTAAGACCAAGGTAGTAGAATCCTGGTAACCCTGCAAAAGAAGGTTGTCTATAGTGACTAGACCTCATACAGTACCCTTGTGGCTATCATCTGAACAGATCTCCGTTGATCAAAATGTCCGAAATGGGGACATCAGCTGCCATTGGACCCCGTTGAGATGACATCGTTTTCTAGGCCCAGGACTTATGGTTTGCTGCCAGGCAAAATAACAATCCGAAATAGGGACCTTAGGGATTGGAAGCTTTGTCATGGGTTATGCGGGTTTTGGCGATATATATTGTAGCATGAGTAGTTCCATAAACATCCGTAAATCCCAGGTTGCGTATGTCCCTGTCGTGTCCGTCCTCCAATTTGTCCCACCACATCCACGGAACAGTCCTTCCGGGGCCCCTCGCGCTTGGTAGCAGCAGTTGCCCCAAGGGCCCAGAAGGACTGGCAAGGAGGTATCGACGACGATGTGCCAAAGAAGGGCCCACTGCTTGAAGACTGATGTACCAATCCAGGTCTGAACTGGATTGACTGGTGACTATCCATGCATTGCCCCCACCTTATGACAGCTGAAACCCAGCTCTTGCTGTACGTGGTTTTTAGCCCATCTCCAGGAGATGATACATCACTTCTTTCCTTTGGACTCACCTCCAACATGCAAAAAGAATCAACAAAACCTCCCGTTCTTGGCCGCCCCTGTCCCACCGAGCCCTTTTCCGCTGGCGCCGCTCGGTCGAAAAACCGGATCTCACACCGGGTCGGTGCTCGGTCTCGGCGCCATGCGCGCCAGGCAGGGCGCCAGGCGCGGGCGCCCGGAACGCGAGCCGCGAGCCGCGGGCAGAGGTTTGTGGGGAAGATGTGTCCTTTACCTGGGCCGAAACGATGGACGGAATCGATCGGAATCGGTAAGGGCCATGGTGGGAATGGTCCTTTTTACTTCTGTATACTGCATACATCCTTTATGGGGTATATATATATATATACAGTATATTGTATATATATATATATCAAACAAAGCTAAGGGAGAATGTTCATCTGCTTGACCAAACAAAATAACAAAAATCGCCCCGGTCTCCTGAATCCAGTCACGCCGCGCGACAAACGCATACTTCTCCCTCTACAATTTGATGGGGTCTTCTCTCTCAGAAGTACCAGTGTGGTTTTGAAGTGGCGGATTCTTCAGTTTGTAAGGATGCCTAAAAACGGTGATGCGATAATAATGTGAATGAAAACACCGTTCGTAGCGATGAAGGTCATGTGTCATGCCAAAGACATCCCAAAAGCTTCAAAAACAGGTCACGTCTTTTTTCTGAGCAAAACCACCGGTAAACAGCTGAAAACAAAAACTGAGAGTAAATGTTCGAGGCAGCCCGCGAAGGTATCTGTCAGCTACCCCCAGTGAAAGCAATGCTTTAACAATATTGAACGCATTCCATTACCGGCTATGGATCAAAAACAGGATGCCACCCAAACCCACTGAGAAAGGGACCAACAACTCAACAAGTGAAATGGTGTAGGTTGCTGGGTCCCATTCATTGAGCCGATGTCATTCCGTGAAATGGACCAGATCGTGTCCTCGTGTCATCTGTCTTCTTCCTCCCCCAGCTGCGATTCCTCCCTCCATCGAGCCACACGTAGCTGTTCTCCACCAAATGCTCCACGATGTCGTTGAGGGTCGGGTAATCCATGACCAAGGTGGAGGACCTCAGTAACGGACCAACCTGCGTTGGGTCATGGAACCTTGCAACAAGGGAAGTCGTGTTCGGAACCTCGGGGAGAAAACACCAGCGAGATGGTTGATTCAAAAGAACACAAGAATAACAAGAGATCATGACACAGAATCATGATGCATTGTGATGCATTGTGGCGCATTGTGGCATGGTCTTCTTCGATGTGAAGCAGTCAGTGACGCAAAGCACTGAGCAAATTCGCTCTGAAGATCGGAGTTGAGGGGTGAGGGGTGAGGGGTCAGACCCCAGACTTTATAGGTATATATCAAATGGTATAAACCTGGGGGTGCAGCAAGAATTCTTGCAAAATAGAAAGGAATTGCCAAAACCCAGGGATACAAAATGACAGGGCCAACATGCAATGTTTTGTTTCACTCACTAGGCCCCATCAATCTATAGAAAATGTTGGGTAAAACATGTTGTAAGAAATGAAGGTGCCACAATGTTTTACATCTGATCTGATCAGTTTTGGAGGCCCCTTAAAAGGTGACTGATTTTTTAAGGCAGCTACAGCAGCTCTTTTTCTGCAGCAGCTTTATCCAAGCCCATTGCTCACACCAATTGTGTTTTTTTTCCAGGAGCGGCTGGAGCGGAAGACGCTGCTTCCCTCTCGCAGTTTCTTACAAAATGTAATGGTACATGTTCTTCTTAATTTTCCCTCTAGAATGTACTGGTGAAGCCACCACATAGTTTCTGCATCCAGCAAAGGGCCAGAATGATAGCCATCATACACTCTTTCAAAATGAGATTTGTCCTAAAACAGACGTCCTATAAAATGACATTGTCTGATCTTATAACCCTAGCCATATCTCCTAAATGATTAAAGGCCCAAAGGATCCCAACAAGGCGTGAATCTGTTTGATCTGCCACCCAACAGCACGAAGATCCTCTGGGGATTCTTTCGGGAAAGGGAGCATCCCACAAAACATTGACCATCTCAGTGCGTGACCCCGGATTTTGCCTCATGAACCACCCGAAGAATTCACGTCCGGATCGATGGCCTTCGCCCTGTAGCTACGTCCGGGCCAGTCCGAAACAGGGGAAGAAGATCCAGCACCACCCAGGAACCCAAACTGGGTGGTGCTGGACCACTGGATGGAGTTCCATCTCCTTTATGATCCACGTTCTGCAGGGCCGACGCTGAGACCTCCGGATGAGACGCGTTCTCCTGGATGCCGCCCGACGGCAGATCCGTCACGGGTGACACCACCAAAGGATCGCCCACACATGAATGTGTGTATGAGTTGGAGGCCAGGCCATAGTAGAGTCATGAGTGTGTATTAGGGATTAGGGGATCTTTCAGGTTAGCCCCCCCCCTGGAAGAAGGACATTTGCCCCAACGACATCGGTGGGAAACGTTTTTTGGGGAACCTTCAGTTACACACCCATCTCTCGTGAAACCCTCCAACCCCCCACCGATCATTTTGAACCAATCCAAAATCCCGCGGAGCGCGCCATCCAGCCCGAATCCCACGCACCCCCACTGCTTCCTTCACCAAGAAACAGCTTGATGTTCGTCTGTGATTCCAGGCTCTCGCGGAACGCGATCGTCGCCAGGCCTCGGTCGCGTTCGCTCGCCGTTGAAACCGTTGGAAACCGACCGTCCTTTTCGGAGGACCGACACCACCTCGGTGAAAGACCGGGCCCCGGTCGGTTTCAAGACCTCCGCATTTTTTGGAGGAGTTTCTGGTCTTCCAAGGATAGCATGTCTTGTGATGGTGGAGAACAAATACTGCTCGTGCCCCCCAAACAAAAAGTGTACCCAAGTTCTGTTTCCACCTTCGGCCTTTGTTTCGCCCTTTTCGGCAGCCTCATCAAACTTCTTGTCACGAAATTCTCGAGGCGTGTCGGCCTCCAAGAGACGTGTCGGCCTCCTGAAACGTCTGAAACTGGACGCCGACGCCTCCCCGTCCCGTGCCATCCCATGCCCCGTGGTTTGTGCGTCAGCAAAGACGGCAGTAGCTGCCACTGTTTTCGTCAGAGACAGATTGGTTGGACGAATCAAACCTCCGCATATTGGAGGGCTTGACTGGGCTGGACCATCCAGGTAGAGGGCGGGGTTCGGTAACAGTCAGCAGTAAGTCGGACGGATCTTGTTATATAATGATGTCTGAGGTGTAGGCCTGTCAAGGATGCAAAAACTGCTGTGAAAGCAATCTGCTCACCCAGCATGGTGGTTGGCTGTTGCTTGCAAAGCCGGAATCCACGAGAGAACCCTCCAAGCTAGAACTATAGAATACTGTAGATTTAATGGTTTATATACATGTGCCACTCAGGTTTAATGCTGATCAAACAACCTCGTAATTGAGGGGAGATTCGTGGGGAGAGAGTGGTGTTGGGATTTAATTGTACAGCAATATCTTCCGTGTTCCTGTGACAAAGGTGCCAAAAGGACGCCTACATCATTGTAAGTACCGTCACGTTTAACCATTAGTAACACTGCCGTGCCCAACAAAAGGCAGGCTTGTCAAAGCTTCGCCCACGAAATCCCGAGAGTCTGAATTCAGTGATCAATCAAGCGTATTTTCGAGTCTCTTTGCAAGCGAAAAACACATCGACGTTCCAAGAATGAAACATCGACGTCCCAGAGCAAAACCCTTGTTGGTTCAAGAAGGTGGGGAGGGAACTACCTCGGACCGACCGCACACCTCGTTACGACCGAAATCCCCAACTCGGTCGGGGCACTGTCAAGGCCACTTTCCATCAGAGGGTCCTGGGCTGACCCGAAACGACGAAGCATAGACCTGAAAAGCAGCTACTTGTCAATGGAAACCCAACAGTTTTGCAAAGGAACATATATAGATGAACGTCGAACGTCTTCACCATTGCCAAACAAGAATTAACAGGATGAAACAGCTTCCAAAACGGTCAAGGTCCGTGTGGTTCTCGCATGGTTCTGTGGCAAATCGTGGTCACGATCAGGGGAGACCACCGATTCCCATTTAACATAATCCAACAACTGGTGCTTGGTTTCTTCTGCTTGAACATACAAAGGATTAGAGACTTAGAGAACCCAAGAAGGAGTTGAAACTTAGAGAAGTTGTGTTAGGAAAAGGCATATTGATTTCTGATGTTTCTCAAGGGTGATCGCGACAATCTTCCACACCTCACCCACAGCATGTCACCAGCGGATTCCCTTTCAGGAAATGGCCGGCCAAATGGGATCAATGAATCTGACTGGATGACCTGATCTTTCCCCCAAAGAACCCTTTGGCACACCAGACGGCGGGCCGTTACAGATGGCTATGTTCGCTGCTTTCTTGAAAGGCCACCAACCCGGACTCTTGGACCATCTTGGACGGCAGCGCTTTGGAGTATAAGATGTGGGTCCATCAAGGAAGATAAACCAGGATACATCAGGAGACCCCAAATGGCGTGGTGTTTGGACCCTCCGGGGTGGTGAAAGAACGGTGCGGTGCGATCGAAAGGAACCAATTATGATGCCAAGCCACGTCTAGAGTCACTTCCTCATCCCCACCAATGGATTCCATGACCACAGCCTTCGAGATCCTGATGGCCTAGCACACCGCCCGGATGCGCCAACGCTGCTGGTGTTGGAGCTGGCGCTGCTGGTGTGAGATCGATCAGATTGGATCGGGTCACTCTTTTTAAGCGATCCAACAGCTGGTTTTCTCTTGGTGTTCTCCAAAGGCCTGATAGAAGAACACCGACAGCATCAGGCATACACCCAAACACCCAACACACATCCCAAAACACCGCGACAAATCCCACGATCGACGTCCAAACAGTTCTGCCTCCTCGCGGCTCAGGGTGGCCTTCTTTGCCACCACCGCCACGCTCTCGGCCTGCGGTGGTAAGGGGGCGGCGCTCGAGCGAGATCCCAGCAGAAAACGGGACCGGAAAAGAAAAATAACATGTGGATTTTGACATGGTTGGGATATGTTGGGATCTATCAAACGCTCTGACCCATGAGCCACACAACCCAGCACGTGAATCATGATGTGGCAACCAGAAATGGATTCAATATGATTCAATTGGCACTTTGCCAATTGTAATATGACAAAGATCTACAGTACATACAGTATAAGCTCTGTATAAAAAGGGTGGAAAATATATACGTTTCTTGCGGTTCGTTCATCGTTGGTTCCTGTTTATCCTTGGGACAGGACCGGCCAGGTCGGCTGACGCCGTTCGGCCAAGGCTTCGGACCCAAGAGTTCAATCCGAAAGGATCGCCATCCGGACATTGAAAAAGATCAGAGGTATATGAGAGGTTGTAGGAACATCATGAAAGTTAGATGGAACATCATGGAACCACTGAGTCTTCCGACGTCCGGATCCTGCGCCGGATCGCCACGTGGGCCCCGCTCCACGTGCGCGGCGGCCCCTCACGTCGCCTGCGGCACGTGCTCGGCCTCTCGTGCTGTCGGGGCCTCAGGGTTCGGTTCGATCGATCTCGGGTCAAAGGTTGGTGGGCTTATGGTGAAATGGTGTATGGTTTATGGTGGTTTTGGATGGTTTTGGATGGTTTTGGATGGTTTATGGGTTCGATCTCTTTACATCCCCAACATAGAGGAATTGGTGAAAGGGAACCGGTGGTCAAGCAGGGTGATGGGGTTTTTGACGTCTCAATGGGTCTCATCAAAGCCAGGTCGATCTTCAGGATCAGGGTCTTATAGCTGGGCTTCGGGTAAATTGCGTCAGTAATCAGGGTTTTCTGCGACAGTACTTTGTTTCAGGGTTTTTTGCGACAGCTCTGGGGAAGGTGTTTATTGCAACAGTTCCACGGGTGTTTTTTCACACGGTGAGCCCGGAACCGGTGTTTTTGTGGACGTCTGCACGGTGTTGTTTGCTACGGTGGTGTTTTTTGCGTCAGTGAGCGGTGTTTTTTGCGACAGTGGGCAGCCCACAAATCGTCGGAGCGTACGCGAGGTGTTTTTTGCGACGGCGGTGTTTTTTGCATCAGTGAGCGGTGTTTTTTGCAACAGTGGTCAGCCCACAACTCGTCGGAGCGTACGTCTCGAGGTGTTTTTTGCGACGGCGGTGTTTTTTGCAGCCGTGAGGGGTGTTTTTTGCGACAGCTGTTGTTGCCTTGCAAGCAGCAACGCAGCAGCAAAGGCAGCACGCGGACCGGTCACAGCAGCAGCAGCAGCAGCAGCACCAGCAGCAGCGGCAGGAGCGGCATCAGCGGCAGCGGTAGCAGTAATGCAGCAGCAGCGGCGGCAGCACCGGCATCAGCCGCAGCGGTAGCAGCAACAGAGCACAGCAGCAGCAGCAGCAGCAGCAGCAGCCGCAGCAGCAGCAGCAGCAGGCACCAGCAGCAGCAGCAGCACCGAGGCATCTAGCCGCTGCAACGACCGGCAATGGCAACCGGCAATCGCGACACACAGCTATCAAAGAGACCAAGCACTAGCAGATGCAGCTGCAGGCCGACAAGCGCCGCTTAGCTTCCCGCGCAGTTGCGCGGTACTGAGCTTCTCCGCCACGGCAAGGCGGGCGCTAACGGGAGAAGAAAAACCGTGCGTATAGTTAGTTGGGCGCCGCACCCCGCCCCGACGCGGTAGGCGAGAAAGACCTGGCAGCGGTGACAGATCGTACAGTATGGCTACGCACTGCGAAGAAGTGTCGAATCGACGAGCAGAATCGGTAAAGCACAGCCAGTATGAAAAATGCAAAGTTTAACGTTTAATGACCAAAGAAACGAAAGAGCTGCGTTAGATAATGTTTGATGTCTCACCTTTTTCCATGGCAGCAAGAAAGTTTTGTTTGTGGCATCAGGAAGAAACGCGGCGGCGTTTGCGCGGGGGAAGGTTGGAAGCTTTCTTTCGCCCACCTTTCTTGTTGGCTGGCACTGTCGAAAGATTCAAAGCCGGAGACGAAAAGTTGGGAAGGCTGCAACTACGAAGAAATGTTGAACGTTCGCATTGTGCATGCATGGCGGCTGCCAGGCAAGAACATAGTATCGAAGTTGATTTGATTTTGAGATACACGATGCTTTCAAAATGGAACCGCAAAGACTCCAGGGAAAGGGTTCCATCAGCAGCGAAGAGGTCTGGCAAACTGTGCGCAGTCAAGGTTTCAGGGTGTAGAAGGACATGGAGAACTTTGCGCGCAACGCTGCAGTTCAGCGGGGATGTTCTGGCAGCGCTTGCAAATGCGACCCAAGAAAGATTGGCGCATGGGTGCAGGATGTACAAGGTATCACGAGGCAACTTGTTCAAATGGGCAGCGGGTGTACGTCCAGCACGAACCAAAGCTGTGCCATTGATGAGCTGCGGATCTTGACTTACTGGCGCAAAAGACAAAGATGAAGAGTCACCCCATTTGTACCAATCTTTCCAATGTTGCGTGTAGAGCTGCTGCAAGACTTGCAAGCCATGGTTGATGTTGCCACGCCCGCCGAGCTGACTGAGCTCGCGTTGCCAAGATGAATGCAAAGCTTCTGCGGGCTCGCTGCCGCTACCAGAACCGGAGATGATGCCGTCAAAGCCAATCCAGAAGCTGACGTAGACAATGTCATCTGGCAACATTTGGCAAGCAAATTGTGCCGGAAGAACACGTTCGTAACTCTTGAGGTAGTTGGCTAACTCTGGCTCGCCAAGGCTACCGAGCGTGGCTAGGAAAGCTTTCCACAGCCAGCTAAAGAGAGGCAAGGTAGGCACCAGCCGCAGAATCTCAAGTGTATCCAAAGCAAACCCGAGGTTCTTTTTGATGTATTTTCCTTTGCGATGAATCACTTGCTTGCATTTGGCTTGCATAGTAGTCAAAGATTTTTGCTTCAGGTGGAAAAAATCATCACACGCTCGCGAGAGCGGTAGCACTTGCAGTCGAGCCTCCTCAATGCTGGGGTGGAAATCTTTGTGAATTTGGAGCGTTAGTTGTTCTTGGAGCGGCGAGCGGCATGGTTGTCGAGAAGCCCATAGGTCACAGATCTTCTGGAAAAGGCGGATATAGTTCGGCTTTGTTTCGGCGTGAAACACGGCTTGCACTATGGGCAGTCCATGTGAAGTCCAAGCGCGGCTTTGGGTGCGACAACCACCAGGGCCTCTCGGCAAATGGGTTGGTCGCAAAGCGTCTTTCACAAGCAAGCTCAAAGTAGCCACGCCCATACCCCGGTCAAGTACTTTCATCTTGGTGTCGACCGCAAGAGCAACATCAGGACCGTCGTAGCGGCCGAGGGCTTCCAGCATACCCGGGCACGCAAAGAGAACGCACACTTCCGAATCGCTGATGAGTGGCTGTTCCAATAGAAACATTGAATCTAATTGCTTGGGCGGGCTCTGGGGTAGCTTGTTGACTTCCAACTGAACAGCTTCGACGATGTGTAGGTCGCAATCCAAAGCCGGCTTTCTGCGTTTCCTCATGTTCTTCAGCCAGTTGGAGAGCTGCGTGTTGGTGGGCAAAGACGATTCAGCACAGCCACCAGCTAGCAGCGCAGCCCGTAAGTTTTTGCCAGTGCGCCCACCTTTATCAAAGAATTGCACTGCCAGAGTTTCCTGTTTTGCATTAAAGACTTTCCCAGTAGCAGCAAGACATGCCTCATGTCCAGAATGAGCACCACTGCATTGTAGAATGAGCGTGCCTGGCTGGTAGATAGCTGCAGCTAGTATATAGTGCGCGCGCCAGCGGCACGGGCACGCAGCACTCTCTAAGCACCGGACTTCAGCTTGGACTCGTTGCTTATTCTGCCAAGCAATGCGGACAGAGACGCGGCATGTACTCCATTCGCCTCTGTGCCGCAGATGATGCAGAAGGTCTTTGTTTGACAGCAAGGGAGTCCCCAAATCCACCCGTGCCACGTCTTCCCACACTAACTGATCCTTGCTCTGCTTTCGGCTCGGTTTCGTTTTCGGAAGGGCAGCTGTAGGAGGCTCCGAAGAAACATCTGTTGCTGTCTTGGCTTCCTCGGCTGCAGCGTTGGGTGTCTGTGGATGGTCACGAGGCGGTAAGGCAACATTGATGTCAGAATGGCCAGGGAACCTTCCGAGAAACGCATCGTGGTCGACTGTTGTCCGCAATCCAAAATGGGATAGAGGAACCCGGTGATTTCGAAGCCAAGTCAGACAACGCTGGCTCAAAGATTGGATGTGATACTTTTGCATGTAGCCTGCAACTCCAGTGGCACAAATTTCTCCAATACCGAGGTCTTTGAGGTGCTGCCAAATGGTTGCAATCTTCAATTCAGCAAGCTTCGCACCAGCATTGCCACCTCTTTCAAGTGAGCGTTTGAGCGCCAGGTCTGCGCAAAAAATGTGATCAGCAGTGATGAAGGCACCAGGCGCGCCACGAAGAATGCAAAGCAACAGTGGCAAGAGATCTGACGAATCGAGAGAGTCGCTGCGTGGGTTCCAAATCTGTTCCTTCGCTGAAACTGCAAGAACAGCCTGGCCATAGAGGTAGCGTTTCTGAATGAATTGCACCGACGCAAGGAAGCAAGCATCATTCACATACATGGGCACATCATCAGGTAAAGGACCGCCTAAGGCAGCTGGCCACAAATGCTGCACAAGATGGTTAGTCATCATGCTTGTGCCTAGCCAATACATGGCTTTGGGCATAGCTTCTCGCAACACTGAAGAAACAGAATCTTTTCTTGCAAACAGACGGCCAATCTCTTCTAACTCCACAAGAACAGCACGTTGGCACCCAGTTGTATGGAAGACCGCTTGCTCCACAGAAGTCATACGCGGACCAAATCTGCGAATCAAAGCAGCAAAGAGTCGCTCAATGACGGGCATCGCGATGTCCTGCGAGAAGGCATTCCAAGTTTGCTTGCCTACATTCAGACGGGCGCCGAAAGAAAATAGACATCGCTGAACAAGGCCAAGGGGTTTGTTTGCTGCGACCAAAGCCCACCAATTTGCAAAGAACATCTGCTGCTGCAAGAAAATGAAGTGTACATTTGTTTCCTTCAATGTCATTCCGACAGGTTCAGGCACGGGCGCTGCCGGGTTGGTAGGCTTCGGCTTCAGGACTTTTTGGCGGTCAATTTGTGTGCTAAAGCTGAAACTGCCCCCCATGGGCTGCATTCAGGAAAAGCTGCAAGTCTATGAAGCGTGATGGGTCTGTGCTGCCACCATTGGCAAATGCAGGGCAAAGGCAAGCTCCTGCTTCATCAGTGTGCACTGTTAGATAACCTTCACATAGGCGCAATTTCTTGCGGGCAGCAGCGGCAGTGCTGGCCTCAGGTTCTGCACAAGGGAAGAGCGAGGTGGAAGCAACAAGAACGGAAAGATTAGGGGCAGATGTAACCGCAACCGTACAAAAGTTTGAATAATGTATTTAATTTGTGACGATGGTACATGATCGTGAGATACTATGAGGAACGATTGCAGGTTCCAGTACGGGAGGTTGCTTTTGGAGGATTTCTATAGGGACGGGCATGGAGGCGCTTGCTTCAAGAGGATGGGACCATTATGTCGTTTTGAATGGT